TCGCATGGCGGCCTCGGGCCATTTCGGCACACCCCTCACGAGGATCGTGGCCCCGTAGGGAGCACCACCGAAGGCGCCAGTGGCAGGGTTCGCATGGCGGCCTCGGGCCATTTCGGCACACCCCTCACGAGGATCGTGGCCCCATAGGGAGCTCCACCGAAGGCCCCAGTGGCAGGGTTCGCATGGCGGCCTCGGGCCATTTCGGCACACCCCTCACGAGGATCGTGGCCCCACTGGAGCTCCACGGAAGGCGCCAGTGGCAGGGTTCGCATGGCGGCCCCGGGCCATTTCGGCACACCCCTCACGAGGATCGTGGCCCCATAGTTGTGCTGCTTCAACAACCGCGCCTGGGCGTCGTACTCCGCCTTGTCGACGTGCAACGCCACCTCCTCCCTCATGGCTCTCAAAGGCCCTTTCCTGCTTCTGCTCCTCGGTGAGAGGGACGCCGTCCTTGTCGTCGTCGGCGCCCGCGAAGACGGCCACGAACGTGTCCCTGAGCATGTCGGGCTCCGGCGGGAAGCCGTGGCCACATAGGGAGCGCGGGCGAAGATGGTATTCACAATTGCGGTATTCACAATTGCATATGGTTGGGTCTTTCGCCCGGATATTTTTTTTTTTGGGTGTGTGTGTGTGTGTTGGTATTGCTGTTTTGTTGTTGTTGTTGTTGAACATTATTAATTCTAAAGAATAATTATTGTTGGGACCCCTGGTGCACGGCCCCCCCGCCGCGCCTAGGCCGCAGCTACATTTTCATCATTTTTTTCGCGAAAGCTTCAGAAAAGTGGATGGGGTCCAGATCCGGTTGTTTTGTTGTAATCCGTTTTCCCTTGCAAAAAACACTATAAAATGACATTTCTTGTTCTAATATAATCAAATTTCAAGAATCCCTTGCAAAAAATAAGGTAAAGTGGACATTCGCGCGCGCAAGACGAATCCTTCCAAAACACTTTAAAGATAGTTCGGAACGATTTTATAACTACAAAAACATCAAAAAACCAAATGTTTTATCACAAAAAAACGGCAAAATCGCATCCCGCGCGCTCTTGCGGATTTCGTAGGAAACCCAATACTTTTTCAACTTTTCTGTCAAACGGGCTCTTGCGAGCAACTTTTTCACGTGCTTCGAACTTCTGCAACAACGGTTGCGCGCATGCCAGGGCCATCATCCCTGTCAAATAATACCATATGGGACACATTCGTTTTTTCTTTGCGCGCGCACGCCGAAATCTTCAAACACCATTTGGGCTACTTAAGAATTTTATCACCGACGCAATCATAAAATCACACGAAATATCGCAACCGTAGGTCCCTCGAAAACCAACACCATGCCGACTTTTCAAAAATTTCTACCCGCGCAGCGCGCTTGTCCTACACAACTTCTGTGGGTGTACTCCACGCCAGTGTAGTAGCCACGGTCGTCCGCAGGCCACGAAGTGAAGTGTCCGAACGTCATAGGGCGGGAAGCTGGGTGTGGGTGGTGGCGAAGAGTCGTGTGATATTTGGTAGAGCTTGCACTGCCCCCCCACAAAGTGGGGGTATTGGCTGGCGTCGCATGAAAATGGATAAGGTTTTGGAAGACTGGTGAGAACACTGGGGGTTCGGGAGCTGTCGGTAAAAGTGATTGTTGTTGTTGTTGTTGTTGTTGTTGTTGTTGTTGTTGTTGTTGTTGTTGTTATTGTTGTTGTTCTTGTTGTTCTTGTTCTTGTTCTTGTTTAGCTCTCATTTCTGCAGAATAATTATTGTTGATCCCCCCTCACCGGTGCATATCGCTTTTTCTCAATCAAAATGTGCTCCTCGACGCTCGGTTTTTTGACAGGGTCAGTCTTCCTGGTCAAACTGGGCCCCTGGCCCCCCGGACTACAGCAACAACGGCTCCCGCCTGAGACTTCCTCACAATTTTCTCAAGGCCCCCCCCTCCCGTCTGAGACTTCCTCCCAATTTACTCAGGAAGGGCGCTCCCGCTTGAGACTTCCTCATAATTTACGTAGTCCAGGTCAAACTGCGTTGTTGCTCCCCCAGACTACAACAACCACGGCTTCCGCCTGAGACTTCCTCCAACTTTGCTCAGGACCCCAGCTCCCGCCTGAGACTTCCCCCCAATTTCTCAGGGTCGGCGCTCCCGCCTGTGACCTCATCGCAATTTAGTCAGGACCCCCCCCTCCCGTCTGAGGTTTCCTTTACAATTTACTTAAGAACGGCGCTCCCGCTTAAGATCTCCTTGCGCTTTAGTCTAGACCCCCGCTCCCGCCAGGCATCCCCTTTTCAGGAATGGCGCTCTCGCCTCTATTCTTTCGCAGTTTATTCAGACATCGTTTCCCTGTTTAGGGGCTTCTGCAATCACACGTGGCCAGGAAGGAATATAACCCCGCAGAAGGGGGAACGATCGAAGACGAAGAGGGCGGGTATCCAGGGTTTGGGATATGCGTAGTGAATGACACGCGGGCCGGTAGGAGCGAACAGTCTTGGAATGATTGTTGTTGTTTGTGTTGTTGTTGCTGCTGTTGTTGTTGTTGTTGTTGATCTTGCATTACCGAAGAATAATTATTGTTGATCCCCCTCCAGTGCACATTGAATTTTTTTCAATTCAAGTACCCCTCCCGGCGCTCGCACACGTTTTTTTTGCAGGGAAAGTCTTCCTCCTCAAACTGCGTTGTTGGCCCCCGGGTTACAACAACAACGGCTCCCGCCTGAGACTTCCACACAATTTAGCCAGGCCCCCCGCTCCCGCCTGAGACTTCCTCGCATTTTATTCAGAAATCGCGCTCTCGCTTGGGACTTCCTTACAATTTATTTAGAAATCGCTCTCTCGGCGCTCTGGAGTCGCGCTCTCGCTGGAGACTTGCTTGCAATTTACTGAAGACTAGCGCCTTTGCGTGAGAATTTCCCGCGATTTACTCAAGCGCCGCGCTGCCGACACTCAGGCACCCAGGAGTCGCGCTCACGCTTAGGACTCCCTCACAGATTATTTAGGAATCGGGATCTCGCTGCCCTTCGTGGCCCCGTTGCAGCCCTTCGTGGCCTCCTCGCTGCCCTTCGTGGGGCCCCGTTGCAGCCCTTCGTGGCCCCCTCGCTGCCCTTCGTGGCTCCGTTGCGGCCCTTCGTGGCCCCCTCGCTTTGTCTCGTGGCCCCGTTGCAGCCCCTTCGTGGCCCCCTCGCTGCCCTTCGTGGCCCCGTTGCAGCCCTTCGTGGCCCCCTCGCTTTGTCTCGTGGCCCCGTTGCAGCCCTTCGTGGCCCCCTCGCTGCCTGAGTGGCCCCGTTGCAGCCCTTCGTGGCCCCCTCGCTTTGTCCCATGGCCCCGTTGCAGCCCTTCGTGGCCCCCTGGCCCCCTCGCTGCCCTTCGTGGCCTCATATATGTATGCCATTCGTGGCCCCCGCTCGTTCGCGCCCTTCGTGGCCTCATATATGCATGCCCTTTGTGGCCCCGCTGTCGCCCTTCGTGGCTCCCATTGCTGCCATTCGTGGCCCCGTTGCTGTCCTCAGTGGCCCCGTCCTTGCCCTCCGCGGCCCAATATACGCATGCCCTTCGTGGCCCCCGCTCGTTCGCGCCCGTCGTCGCCCCATGTGCATGCCCTTCGTGGCCCCGCTGTCGCCCTTTGTGGTCCCCTCGCTGTCCTACGTGGCCCAGTTGCTACCCTCAGTGGCCCCGTCGTTGCCTTCTGTGGCCCCGCATAAGCTGCCCTTCGTGGCCCCCGCTCGTTCGCGCTCTTCGTGGCCCTGCTGTCGTTCTCTCTCTGGCTTTCGCTTTCGCTCGTCGTCGTCGTCGTCGTCGTTGTCGTCGTCGCCGTCGCCGTCGCCGTCGCCGTCGCCGTCGTCGTCGTCGTCGTCGTCGTCGTCGTCGTCGTCGTGGTCGGTCCCCTGTCCGTCCCTCTTGGGGTCGGGTTGCCGCCGATCAGCGCTGCCGCTGGCCAGGCCGACGGTCCGCAGCCGCCCCGCCGCTTGCCGGGGCCCGGCCTGCAGGGAAGATAGGTATACCACCCAAAAGGGGTACGATCGAAGACTAAGAAGGCGGGTATCGAGGGTTTGGGAAATAGGCGTTAACGGACACTCGAGCAGATAAGAGCGAACAGTCTTAACATTATTGTTGAACATTATTTATTCTAAAGAATAATTATTGTTGGGCCCCCTGGTGCGCGCCCCCCCTGCGCCGCCTAGGCCGCAGCTACATTTTCATCATTTTCGTGAGGAAGCCTCAGAAAAGAGGGTGTGTACAGGATCCG